GGACACCCGCAGCACCGTGCACCCTATAGGGACACCCGCAGCACTGTGCACCCTATAGGGACACCCATAGCACAGTGCACCCTACAGGGAACCGACAGCACTGTGCAACCTATAGGGAACCGAAAGCACTGTGCACCCTTTAGGTAACCGATAGCACTGTCCACCCTATAGGGAACCCTCAGCACTGTGCACCCTATTCAGAACCCACAGCACTGTGCACCGTCTCGGGAACACGTAGCACTGTGCACCCTATAGGGAACCCATAGCACTGTCCACCTATACGGAACCTATAGCATTGCCCCTTCTATAGGAACCCATAGCACTGTCCACTTTGTAGGAACTCATAGCTCTGGCTCCACTATAGGTAGCCATATTACTGCCCCCCTTTTAGGTAATCATTGCAATGCCCCCACTATAGGTAGCACTGCCCCCTCACCCCCATTCGTATAGCACTGCTCCAGCCTATAGATAACCATAGAACTAACCCCATCTATTGATACCCATACCACTGACCCCTATTTAGGTACCTATAGGACTGACATTGCACTGAGTGACATGATAGCCATTTAAGGTCAACCACATTGCTGTGGGTCTGGAGTTATCCATAGGCCAAACCAAGTACGGATGGGAGATTTAACTCCCTGAGGGATATTCATGAACTAAGTGGGTTTTTCCAACAGTTGGTAATGGCTGTCATGCTCACCATGACTGAGACTAGATTTCAATTCCAGATGTATCCATAAACTTCCACTAAATTAGGTCGCAACTGAATTTCAATTCCACCAACTGCTGCAATGAGATTTGAGCTCAAATCCCTTGAGTCTTAAAGCAGGCTTCTTAATCCAGTGAGATTACCACTACACCACCAAGCCTAACCAACTACCACACACAATAGTTATGAAATGAAACAAGCCAGGAATCTCAACTGTCAGGAGGACTTACATCTATATTATGCCTTTCAGAATCTCATGATGTTTCAAAGCACTTTACAACCACTTTCTAACCAACTATATCATTCCCTGTTGTAATATAAAGAGACTTGAGAGCCTATTTGTGCATTACAAGCTCTCAAAGACAACAGCAACGAGATGACTAACCAGATCATCTGTTTAAGCTGTTAATTGTGGGGTAATTATTTGTCTGGACACCAAGGGAGACTGTCCTTGTCAATGAATAAATCAAACTGTGCATTGAATGCTGACACAATGGTTGGTGCCTGTAGATTCTGTCCCTATGAGAATTCCGAACATCAGTCAGGCATCTAGGGTCAATGCACACAGAGCTATTGGTTAAATAAAACAGAGAACTGCTGATGCTGGAAATCTGAAACAAAAACAGAAATTTCTGCAGAAACTCAGCAGGTCTGGCAGCACCTGTAGAGAGAGAAAAAAAGAGTTAACATTTCACGTCCTTTGTCAGAACTCCAGATACTGGTTCACTGAAAGTCCCCTTGCATAGAGGCAGAGATCTCTGCAAGTGACTCTGCAGCTTCTGATTGTGGTTTGGGGAGAATTTATCTTCGCCCCAGTTCCCATTCAAGGAACAGCGTCTTCAAGTTTACGAGGAGGTTTGGTAAATTGGAGAATAGAATTGTTTCCATCAGAATGTTGTCTAAGACTAGGAGGATATAAATAGTCTCGAAGAATTGTAACTAAGAATTCAGAAGAAACGTCCTCAATCAATGAGGGGTAAGAACATTGAACTGGCCACAACAGGTTGTAGGTGAGGTAAATAGCATTGATCTATTTAAGGGGAAGTTAGATTAGTATGTAAGGAGTAGTGGCTCACCATGTCCTTCTCCAGGGCAATTAGGGATGGCCAGTAAATCCTGATCTTGCCAGTGACGTTTATATCCTATGAATGATTAAGAAAGCATTGGCAAGGTGAGAGGAAGTTCATTGTGGCAGTCAGGTAGATTATAAACACTAGCATTCAGTAGGTGGAGCGAATGGTCTCCTTCAGTGTTTATCCCGACGTGAACATTTAAAATAGGACCAGGAGTAGACCATTCAGCCCCTTGAATTTGCTGACATTCAAAAAAAGATCATGACTGATCTGTTTGTGTTTCAAGTTCCACATTCCCACCTACTCCCAATATCTCTGATTCTCCTGCCTAACAAAAATCTATCTACCGATGTCTCGTAGATGTTCAATGCCCAGGTGGAGGGTGGTGAGGTGAATGATGCTGGGTGGAGGACTCCAGTGGCAGAGCCAAGTTTTGACATGCCAGTCGAGAACCCTTGCTGGAATTTTTGGAGACCTGAGATTGTTTTCAACTGATTTTATGGTGTAAGTCCTGGTTAGTGACATTTCCTTCAAATAATAAAAGTCCAATCCACAAAAAAAGCTAGTTCCTAACTACTGGCTGCCACTAGTTCATTTTGTTCGCATGGCGCAGCTTGATCATTGGTAGGCAATGGATTTGTAACCAGAATGATTTGGTAAAGTGAGAGAATAGATCGTGAAGCCGTAAGACGTAGGAGCAGAATAGGTCATTCAGCCCACTGAGTCTGCTCCACCAGTCAATGAGATTGTGGCCGATCAGACTCCTCTTTCCTGTCTTTCCCCCATAACGCCTGATTCCCCTAAAGTTTAAAAATCTGTATGTCTCAGTTTACATTATATTTAATAACCCAGCCTTGATAGCCCTCTGTGGTAAAGAATTCCACAGACTCACAATGCTCTGAGAGAAGAAATACTCCTCATTTCTGTCTTAAACAGGCCGCTCTTTATTCTGAGATAATGCCCTTTGGTCCTAGACTCTCCCATAAGGGGAAATAACATATCCAAATCTGTTTTTAAATATTCATTCATGGGATGAGGGCGTCACTGGCTAGGCCAGCATTTATTGCCCATCCCTAATTGCCCAGAGAGCAGTTAAGAGTCAAAAACATTACTGTGGGTCTGGAGTCACATGTAGGCCAGACCAATTAGGGATGGCAGTTTCCTTCCCTAATGGACATTAGTGAACCAAATGGGTTTTTCCAACAATTGACAATAGATTCTTGGTCATCATTAGACTCTTAATTCCAAATTGTTTTTAATTGAATTCAAATTCCACTATCTGCCATGAACATTCACTGTGTCTCTGGATTAACAGTCCAGCAATAATACCACAAAGTGATCACCTCCCCATCTACCCTGTCAAGTCCCCTAAGAATTTTCTAAGTGTCAATAAGATCCTCTCTCATTCTTCTAAGTTCCAATGAGTACAGGTCCAAACTACTCAACCAATCCTTAATAGAATCTAACTGTTTCCAATGATCATAAAGATAAATTAGATTAGATGAGATTAGAATTATTTATTTGTCACATGTACTATGTATAGGAATACCTAAGTACAGTGAAAGTGCACTGGCACCCACTTAGTTACAAAAACCAGAATTAAAAGATTTAACAGAGCCAAAAGGTAAGCAAGAAAAAAAAGTCCATCCCAGACGGGTATTTGAAACAATCGACAATGGATTATTGGTCATCATTAGACTCTTACTTTTAGATTTTTTAAAAATTGAATTCAAATTTCACTATCAGCCACAGCAGGATTTGAACCCAGGTCACCAGAACATTGCCTGGGACTCTGGATTAATAGTCTAATAATAATACCACTAGGCCATTCATGAAATTATGGTACAGTGCTAGTGCTTCTACCTCTGTGATAAAAGGTCTAGGTTTAAATCCTGACTGTCCCAGACATATGTTGGAACAGTATGGCTTAAATAAATAAATACATGCCATGATGAATTCAGAAGAAATTGCTTCATCCAGATAGAGGTGAGTATGTGGAAATGGTCACTGCTAGGGGTAGTTAAGAATTATAAAGCAAATTGCACATTGCGCCTTTAGGACAGCTCAAAACACTTTGTAGCCAACAAACTCCTTTCGAAGTGTAGTCACAATTGCAGTATAGGAAATGTGATAGTTATTCAGCAAAATCGATCCAATAGCAATACAGATATAGCAGGGATGGGATCTTCCACATTACCTTCACAGGAGACCATTCCCAGCCAAGTTCCATCCGGAATGAACTCTGAAAAAATAATTTGAAAGAATCAAACTTTGAATTTTTCAATAAATGTCACAGTTCCAGGCAATTAATTATTTCCAGAGCCAAGCAGTTTGGGTGACGTTATAGAGGTTTATGAAATCCTGAGGGGCATGGGTTGGGTGAATAGCCAAAGTCTTTGCCCCAGGGTGGGGGAGTCCAAAACTTGAGGGCATAGGTTAAAGGTGAGAGGGGAAAGATTTAAAAAGGACCTGAGGGTTAACTTTTTCACACAGAGGGTGGTGTGTGTATGGAATGAGCTGCCAGAGGAAGTGGTGGAGGCTGCTACAATTACAACATTTAAAAGGCATCTGGATGGGTACATGAGTAGGAAGGGTTCAGAGGGATATGGGCCGAACGCTGGCAAAGGGGACTAGGTCAGATTGGGATGTCTGGTTGGTGCGGGTCAGTTAGACTGAGGGGTTAATTTCTGTGCTTTATGACTCTATGACTCAATAACACA